GACGGTGTTTTACCGATTTGGCTAGCCTCGCTAATAATACTAATCGAACGGGAAGGTGGTCGTTTCCTCTCGAGACACCCCGTGGATCGCGCGAAACCGATTGCCAGGATAATTTTAGTGGTAACCGTAATTACGGGGCCCCGTTCGCAAACTCGGGCCCTATGCATCCCTCAAAGACTTATTATTCCCAACGCAAATAACCTTATTATCCTCTTTCGAAAAAATCCATCGACATTTGGAGATACGTTATTGATAGACGTCTTCAATTTCACTTCAATACATTTATCAGGAATTTTAGTAAAATTTTTAATACGCAGCTTCGTTCGAATCATCTCGCAATCTTCATATGCTAGTTCCCGTGGTTTTCGAAACGTATCTCATATTTCGCAAAAGGATAGTCGACCCTTCAAAGTATGGAGCAAAAAAAAAGATATGGAAATACTTATACATGCAAATGAAGAGCAATTTCGTATCAAAACCACTGTGATGCAAAAGGTTAATTACTCTGCTCCGTTCCATTTACAAGACCCTGTGACCCCTAGGAAATTTGAAAACGGAATTTCGCCTTTTGAGGTTGTGCCAATTATCTTTGCCTTTACATTCTATCTCGAAGGATCCTTGTTCGGATCCACAAATTTAGTTGCAAATTTCGCCAAACTTACAAGTGCAAATTGATGACTTTTAAAAGTTTAATAACACATTTTTAACTTATTATCGGAGCAATCATATGTGATGATAAAAATAATACAAATGTTGGATGTCTCAAGGACCTAGATGGAATATCCGCTTCGTAGTTTAATCGAACGGTGCTCGAAGGGCTATCACTCTCGTGTACTTTAGAAAACACGAGGTTTTATTTCTGAACGGCGCACGTATACACGGGAAATTGAGGGATGAAGATAAATGAGAATTGTGACGCGAAAGACTATCAATATTGGCCGCGTATCGCGCAGCCTGCGACACGTCGTCCTATACCTCGAATCCCGTGATTCTCATTTGCAAGCCACTTCCGGCTACGTTGTGGCGCGACGAGTTTTCACCTCGTTCCGATTAAATCTGGCGAATTATCCGCTCGGCGTGAACATGATTGAGACAAACACTTTCGACGTCCTTTCTCTTTAATTAAATCTAATAATTCAACCGAGAATAGATTCTGTTTTTCATATTCGGGGCAATTCTTACGCCGTTTTCGCAGGGTAGTAATCTCGTTGAATTCTTCGCAACTCGCGAAATTTCTGTATACAATTTTTGGAGGGCCAAGAAGATCCAAATGTATGTAATTTTAGGAAGACCGCGGAAAGGCGGTTTGTAAGAGAGAGAACAAAGAAAGAGATTGCGGGTTAAGAATCCAGACACGCTTTAACGAGGCGTACGAGGTAACGAGACTGGAGTACAGTGCCCGCAACCCTTTCTTTGTCGGCGTTGGGCAAAAGGATGGTCGCGATTCCGAGACCCCGGGCACCTTTTCAACATGTTAATTGTATATTTGAGGCGAGGCGATAAACAAGCCTGGGCTCGGTAGCTCGCTGCCGTGGAGTCTTCATTACGCTCGGTAATATATAACCCTGCTACCCCGAGGGCCATTCTCTCGATGTTCTAGAAAGAAATTATCAAGTCCAATACGAATACACCAGGTGACCCGATCGTACTTGAAAGAGTCCGGCGAAGATGCTCGATCAGCGAAATTCGATTTCAGGTCAAAAAGATGGCCATCGATGAAGCACCGATTACACGAATAATCTACTGATAAGCATTTTTTCTCAATAACTCTCGTTTGCGGATATTCCTACTCGAATATTTTAATTTTCGGTGATTAGACTCGAAATGACGATTATCCAAAGGTCGGTTAAATTCGAGCCACGTTTCAAGATTGCGGGCTGAAGATTTTCACCGGTAGCAGTCGATAAGTCGCGAAAGTGTCAGCAGATTAATCGCGTGGCGAAATGGGCCTACGAGCGGTCATTAATTTCCCCGAAACGGTTGTGGAGGAGCAATCGCCATTTATATTTGAGTGATCCACGTACATCGTCCGCACGAGCACGCGATCAGCAGCGTATTTTTACGAGCTCGTCGAGCAGCCTAATCGCGGTCATGCATCTCGGTGCTCTGGTCGTGCCTCGCAGCGTATTCCGGATAAAAGGGCTTGAACACGGGCGAAAGAGGAGGTGGAGACGAAAAAGAAAAAAACGAAGGAAAGGAACACGCGTGATCTTGGGCTCATCGTGAAAGCAACCCGCGACGGTTACACATACAGGCGCAATCGATTGGCCTTCGGGTGCAAAGGTGCGAACCGGTTCCTCGAGCACGGCTCGATTTTCGACGAGGAATTCGGTGCTGGCCGGTCAGCTTCCTGCTGCTGCCGTTGCAGCAACCCTCTCCAGAGGTTCTCGAGCAGGGTTCGTTCCAAAGAGACTGCCAGACACGAAGCAACAGCGAGGCGCTTTATCCGCGAAACAGAGGCAGACAGAAGCACGCCCCCTTGGTGTCAGATTTTATTTATCGTTCCGTGGCTTTTTGTTTCACGGTAAATACCCTGGGCATTTAAGAGTAAGACGTTCCCCGATTTATGGTCCACCCTGGCCTGACTCGAGTCCCTCTTTCTTATTCCTTTCTGCCGTGGAACGCCCTTGACTCTCGTTTTCTCCTCCGCGTAACCCTCCTCGTACGTGTCTATGGTCTCCGAATTTCTGCGACTTTCGCCAACTCGTCGTTTCGTCCAGATGCTTCGGAAATCGATCACCTAGATGCGATCGAAACTCGAGTACACTCGCGTGCAACAAATAGCTTGATGCAGTGATCTGTATCCTGTAGACTCGAGTAGCCTAGTTTTTCTTTGATCGCGCCTTGTCGTTTGATTTGCCAGAAAACGTGGTAAAATATGCGTAGAATTTAAAATCGAGCAAAGAGAAAGTCCGATGATCGAGTTATTAACGTTTGATTTTTTACCGTGTTCCAGATAAATATGGAGGCGGTCACGTCGACCGACTACGACTCGTCGAACCTCAGCAGAAACTTTAATCAAGTGGGTTTCAATACATACAATTACTCGCAGTTCGAGGAGAAGTACAAGCCTCGACAGGTTTTCAAGTACGGCGACGAGTACCTAGAGTACGGGCGTAACTCGGTCAGGCTAGGACCGAACGAGAGGTTCACAAGATTATCGTCGAGACATCAAGACGTCGTCGGGAAGCCGGATCAGAGGTATTCGCGGAGCCATTCGCAACCGGAGAGGCAGCAGCACCCGTGCCAGGAGATCCGTTCGAAGTCGCAGGACTCGCGCGAATTGACCTTCTATCAGATCGATCCGCCCGTCAAGCTGGAGAACGTTCAGCACCATTCGAAATCGCATCGTTCCGCGATCGAGAAGAACCAAAACAAAAAGGAGCTGACCTTCTACGAGATCGATGGGCCGACCTCGCAGGAGAAGAAGGACGGGAAACACGAGGGATGCAAGGACGAGAAGCGGGACAAGTGTCACGTTGGTCAGGAAAAAACGAGCGCGACCACCAAGCACGCCAAGCAGAGCTATCAGGAACAGAAGCCGAATCCTCCACCCAATTATCATCAGCTGAATAGATCGCAGTCGGACCTTACCGAGTGTCAGCTGCCGAATTATTATAGACATCAGAATAACCCTTATATCGATCCGCCGAAATACAGGCAGTTCGACAAACCACCCAAGTACCAGGAAACCCCTCCGAAAACGGAACCTCCGCCAAAGTATTCGGAGGTGGCCAGGCGACAGGACGACTACAAACGAGTGCAGGTGAGATTTTATTTTTGTTCGAATAGGTACATAGATTAGATCCCCCGGTTCCTCTTTCTCCCTCGATCGATACGTCCAGTTCCGGTCCCTTCGAAAGTGGAGGATCTCCGAATCGAGACGATTAGCGGTGACCGTTAACATTATCAATTCGACAGGAGGAGAGGGGCAAACGACAAGGTAGCAGCTGTGGTGGTGGAGCCGGAGGAGGCGGAGGAGGGAGCGTAGTCAGCGGCATCGGCAGCGGTGGTGGCGGCGGCGGTGGTGGTAACTCCAGCAGGGGGACCGGCGGCACTCATGGCGCCGAGACGCCCTCTAATCTGGCCAGTATCACGCCAACCGCGCGAGAAGCAACACGCGGTCCCTCGTCGCGTTCGCGGCTACCTTATAAATCGTGCGACACGCGTTGCTCGAACGGCAACGGCAGCAACAACGTCGGCAAAGAGGACTCGTATCAGGATGTCAACGACGAGTCGGAAGTGATACCGTCGTCGAGGTGCCACGGGGACGCGTCCAAGACGTCCCATCACCATCAGGTTCGATCGTCCGCCATCGGCGGTAA